CGCGGCTCTGACTGGCAGGCGGAGGGCTGTCTCCCGCGCCCGCCTGCCCGGCGCGGTCCGAGGATGCGGGGGGGCGATGCCCGGGGCCAGGGACGCGCTCTGTCACCAGGCGCTGCAGCTGCTGGCCGAGCTCTGTGCCCGCGGGGCCCTGGAGCACGACAGCTGCCAAGATTTCATCTACCACCTGCGGGACCGAGCCAGACCCAGGCTCCGAGACCCAGGTGAGCGCCGTCGCCGTCCGGCGTGACCAAAGGGATGGGGACTCGGGGGCCGCGCCAGGGCCCGAGGCGGAGGAGCGGCGCGGACGGGCGGAGGGCTCGGGGAGCTGCGCCCGGTGGCCTGACGCTGAGCCCTGGCGGGGACCCGGGCTGAGGCTGCGCGGACGCCGAGCGCGGTGGGCTGGGAGGAACCACGCCCGCCACCTGCGCTCCTGCCGCGGGGCTCCTGGGGGCGGCTCCAGCTCCGAGGTGCGCGCTCCTCTTCCCCCGCTCGCCGCCCGCCGGGAGAGGCCGCCGAGGCCTCTGGAGCGGAGAGAGGGAGGGGACAGCCCAGGAAACTCTGGGAAGTTGGGAGTTGGGGATGGCCCCGGGCTGCAATCAAATCCCACCGGGAGATGCTCAGCCCGGTGCAGCCGCTTCCTCTCAGTGCTCTGGGGTGAGAAGGGAGCGCCGAGATCGGGCTTGGAGCGGGGCCCGGGAGCCAGGTCTTGGGTAGCCGGGCTTGAACCTTTCCCCTGCGGGTCGAAAGGCGGCGAGGCCTGGGTTCCCAGCTTGACCGGTTGCCGCAGCCGGGCACCCTTAGAGTGGGTGGGTTCTCCATGCATGGCTTGTGCACCTGGCAGTTGTCCTGGTGGAAGTTGCGAAGCTCCCAACTTCGGAAAGTTCATTTATTTTGGCATTTGACCAATTAGGGTTGGAGGACAGAGTTGATTGAAGGGATTTGCTTCCTCCAGGGGCCCTAGGTCTCCAGTGTCTTCTCACTCCCTGCCGGGCACTGGAAGATACATTCCTTTCCCAGAGATCCTTCTCACTTGGAATCATTTTCTGGAATATTTTTCCAGCTTAAGTGTTTTAAATTAAAAGGGCATATCGTGGTTGAATTGCTAAAAATAGGATGAGAAAATGGCCTTTGCTTTGATGTTCCTGTATGTAAACATTGGCTATAAGCTATTGCTGTGCAAATTATTCCGTATGAGTTTTTCTCATTTTAAGCCAGTTCATTATGTAAAAATGCTTTTACCCAAAGGATAGAGAATTGGAGAGATTCACAGAGAGCCTGACTTAAATTAGCCTACTTTTGATAGGGTATTTGAAATGTGTGGGGTGAAGGCAGGTGTTAAAAGTTTATGCCAGATTTTTCTGTATCCAGAGGCTTTATTTTTCATGTCTGCTGTTACATTAAGAAGTTTATCAAATGATCACTAAATGTTTTACTTCAAAGGGAAGAATTAAATGGAGAAATACCGATTCAAGTGATTTCCCAGGAGGTTTAGTTGTCCAGCCTGTGTAAGGCTGGTGGCTGGATGAGAATGTGCTTCACTGAGCACAGTGAATGGGGGTACCTCACCTCCCCAACAGGAGTCCCAGGCGGATGCCCAAGTGGGGATGTTTAGCAGGACCAAGCCCATTGAACGTGCTTTTCCCAAAGCCAGTGTAACTGCTGGGAGCTCTCTGTTGCTGCTTCAGTGACACAGGTTCTCTGTTACCCCAGACAAGCTGTCATTTTTGCCTGGGGAAGCCGTATGCAACTGCTTCTGAATTGCACATTTCATAGCCACATCTTTTTGACCAATTTCTGCTTTCCCCCTGCCCAGGTTCTCTCAGGCCCTGCACAGGTCAGGGCTAGAGGAAAAGTCAAAAGAATCCACCTCATGAGAGATCTGATTCCTTGACTGAAACATGGCTGTGGATGAGTGGGCCTTGCTGCTCCTTGAGTTCCTGAAAGCAGAGCTCTGTGTACACTAGGGCACAAGGCTTTGAGGGACCTTCCACCCCTCTGGCTCTTTGGGTGGTCAGGAAGTAGTCTGCTCAAGAGGCAGGAGAAGGACTCTGCAAGTGCAAGGTGGGAGAAAATGAGGCCAAAGGTGGCATCCAAAGTGCTACCCTCTCCTCCAGGGCTCTTCTGCTCAGGCCAGATCTCCCTCCATTTCCCTCCTTCCTCGCTTTGCCCACATTAATTCTTTCATCACATGCATTTATCTTCATCCCTCTGAATCTGTTTGTCCAAGCGGAGAGTACCCTTAATCTCTGAGCCCTAAAAGCTGAGGGCTGAAGCTGCCCTGCACAATGCTAAGTGAACAGCACCTCTGTTGTTGCATAGAACCATCCAGAACAACCCTGTGCAGCTGCCCAGATGGGTCCCCAGAGAGCCCACTCTGTAAATGGGTGATTTCCTTTTCTGTGAAAGAATTCACCTGAATGCGGCATCCCTGCCTCTGCCTGTTGTCTACCCAAGGCTGCCCTGTGGTAGCTGTTTTTTCAATCTCCATTAATGCTTTCGGTTATAAAAGGAGAAAACATGTCATTCTCGGCAAAGTGACATTGCATCTAGGATGCTTGTTCCTTTTTTTGGAGGTTGGGTAAGGCTGGTTCACAGGCCAGTGCGCTTGAGACAGCAGGAAGAGCATGTGGAAAGGACCAGAAGCAGGAGTATCGTTGCTTTGATTCAAGGAGCAGTGACTTCAGGGGTGGCTGGAGGTGGAGAGTGGTAAGAAATGTGGTCCAAGGTTGGAGAGGGTAGGTCATGCAGGGCCTTGTGGGCAATTAGAAGGACTTTGGTTTTAACTCTAAATGACACATGAAACCATTAGAAGTTGTTGCAGAAGTGAGAACCCAGAATGCCCACATTGGGAAAATCTTGTAGAAGAGTAAGGGCGAAGACAGAGATGTGTTCCTGGTCTGTTTCTGAAATCCAGGAAGAGGTGGATGGATGCTCAGCCTGCTCCTAATGGAGGAGGTAAGATGTAACAATTATGGACCAACCTGAAGGTACTGCTACAGGCATTCTTGACAGGAGATATGAGTATGATTCTCAGATCTTTTGACCTAAGCAACCCCATTTACTGTGCAGAGGTGTTAGGACGAGGCTTGGAGTAGGGAGTGGTATCAGGAGGTTTCTACTTTGTGTTTAACTTTTTGTACATGTGAGTGTGGGATGCCTCTTCAGTTAGCCAAACTGTCTTGTAGTCAAATGGTCTTTAACACTGCCACCGGGCCATGTGCTTAGTTTGTGTCTGGAAGCCTCCCTGTCAAGATACTGGTCCTAGAAGAGCATTTACTGTTCGAAAGTTTTCCCTTATAGGGAACTGAAAGTGTTCTGAAACATCTACTCTTTGATCTTTGTTGTTTTATTGTACTGGGATTGAACCTAGGGCGTCTTGCATGCTAGCATGCTGGGCAAGTGCTCCGCCGCTGAGCTCTATCCTGACCCTTTGTTCATCTTGATTATACTTTTGTATTCAAGAACAATGTCTCATCCTTTGCTCCATGCTGTAGCCTTGGCTGTTAGGAGGTAAGGAACTGAACTACTACACACCCATTGTTTCTACATGTGGAAAAGAAAGGATGTTGGAACATAGATTTCCTGGTTTTGAAACATGTTTAAAAATATTTATTATTTTAGTTTCATGTTTATGAGTGTTATACCTGCATATATATATATATATATATATATATATATATGTACCCATGTCATTTAGTACCCACTGAGGACAGAAGAGGGCATTGGATCCCCTGGAACTGGAATTGTAGGTGGTTGTTAGCCGCCATGTGGTGCTGCTGGGATTTGAACTCTGGTCTTCTGCAAGAGCAGACAGTGCTCTTAAGCCAGAGCCATCTCTCTAGCCCCATGTTTAATCATTTTCCCTGTCTTCCCTGCAGGATGCTAGCATGTCTGTGCCATACATTTTGTGTCTGCCATTCTTTCCAAAGCACTTGCTTTGTGCCTGCAGCATCTGGGAACTTGTCAGACATGCAGGATCCCAGGCCCACTCCAGACTTACTGAATATTCATTTTTACTGTTACAGGACTCTCAAGTGAGGCATGGGTACATTTAAGTTCAAGAAATGTGGTAAAATGGAAGACATATGTGGGGACAGTGCAGTGGAGAGTGGTAAGCCATCTCACGGCCTGGCTCTCCATTTAATAAAGCCTTGGGCCTAAGTCAGAGTAACTTCTTCTGTAGTCACGTCGTGTTTACAGTTGTCTCTCGGTAGCTGAAGGACGTTGGTTCAGGACTCCCAGGATGCAAAAATTTGAAGATGTTCAGTCTTTTATGTAAAAATATAATAAGGTTTAAATGTAACCTATGCACATCCCCTCTTCTACTCTAAATCATCTCTGTTGCTTTTAATGACTAACAATGTAAATGCTCTGTAAGGAGTTGTTATACTCTATCAGAGACTAATGAAAAGAAAGTCTCTACATGGTCAGTGCAGACACATTTTTCCCCAAACATTTTTGATCTGCAGTTGTTTAAATCCATGGCTGTGGAGGGCTTGGATACAGAAAGCTGACTTTACTCACAACATAGACCTCATTGTCAATGGAAATTGCCTAAGTGTTTTTATAACAGCTATCCTTAGACTTACTTTCTCTATTTTGAACTTGTATAGTGGATTAAATCCTTAAGAGCAGGTTAAATTGTGTGCAGTTAGAGTTACCGTAATATTTTGGTTATGAATTCTGTTACCTGGGTATTAGCTTTCCATTTGTGTGTCAGCTTCACGTTTTGCATGATTTCAGTGTTTGTATCCAAGCTCTAGAAAATGTTCACTAGCTGAAGTGTGAAGCAGAGCCTTATGCAACACTGAATTCTCTTTCCAGGTAAATATTACTTTATTCTGGAAAGCACCCCTTCCCCCTCAGGGCTTTTAACTTTGGCTGCACATTAGAAATACATAAGGGCTCTAACAGAGAAAGAAAAATAGCAAAAACTTAAGGGTGGCTGGAATGTACCCTAGGCCAATTAAATCAGTCTCTAGGGGTGGAGCCTGGGATCGGTGTTTTCCTAAGTTCCTCCCATGATTCTAAGGGGAAGTCAGGTGTAGGACAACTTCCAAGACCTTAAAGCAAAGGAAATATTCACCTAACTCTTCCTTTTTGCAAAATAAGGAAAGACGGTATAAAAAACCAGGGGATTTGACTGCTGCCCTTGAATAACTGGTACCCATATCAGCTATTTGACAATATTTTTCCAAGTTTTTATTTTGAGGGCTTTAAG